ACCCTGAGAGCAGACACCCTTCCTGAGGGCAGAGCTGGAGCCTGGGACCCCTGAGTGTCCTCTCACCTGTCATCACCACCAGCTCCAGCGGTCACTGTGCTCTGACAAGCCAGTGGGGCTGTGATAGTAACAGCGATATATCCCAGCCTGTAGATTTGTCATGTGTGTGATGAGGAACTTGGCCTTGTCTCCGGGCTCCTGTGGCTTCTGTCTGTCCCAGGGCACTGGGCTTCTCTCTTTATCGAGACGGTACTCATTGGCCCCTGGGGTCCCCTGACACCAGATGGTCACAGGGTTCCTCCAGGGGATCACATTGCCTGGCTCAACCCAGATGGTGGGTTTGGGGAGGGGCCCTGGAAGGAAACCAGTATCAGGTTAACAAGACATTCCCACCCCCAGTTCCCAGCTCTCATCCCACATCCCTCCCAGACATCTCCCATCTGTCAGCCCAGAAGTGGTGTTTTTCTCCAGCTTCCCATGGGGTGGCCCCTTGTCCCCAGTGAGCAGTGGGACCTGAGAACCTGGGTGACTCACCTGCCTGCACTGGGGTCCTGAGGCCCACACTCAGCCCTGGAAGAGAGTCCCTGTGAGAGATTTGCCCTGAACCCTGAGCAGCACCCTCCTCCCCATGAGCCTCCTGAGTCCTGGGGTCCTGACAGAGCAGGGCCTGGCCATGGGGCAGGATACCACCCCACCCAACAGCCCCCCTCAGATCAGGGCTTCCCCTCCCCCTCCTCACATCTTACCGAGGCAGAGCAGGGCCCTGAGGGTGGTGGTCATGGCGTCTCTTTCTCTCTGATCGTGGCTGTGCAGATGGAGGAGGCCACAGTGTCCTCAGAAGAGGCTGACACAAGGGGTGTGGCCCCCAGGAGGCTGGTCCGCCCCGTCATGGGGCTGTCACGTCAGCAGCCCCAGGAAAGGGAACAGCCCCTCCCAGGGAGCCTGGCTCTCATTTCCTCAGAGCTGAGGCCTGGGCGGGCAGCAAGCTTCTGCAGACATTTCTGACCACGACTCAGGCCCCATTTCATCCACAAGCTTCTGCCTCACTGGCCTGAACTCCTCTTTGACCCAAGCATCCACCCTTATTCCTTGAGGATTTGCCATGTCCCTGGCCCGGGAATACACCACCGAACCACACAGATTCCAACTCTGAGCTGGCATATCTCAGATTAGCCAAAATAGAGCAAAACTGCATCACCACTTCCAAAAACAAGAGAGAGAGAGAGAGAGAGAGAGAGAGAGAGAGAGAGAGAGAGAGAAGAAGAAGAAGAAGAAGAAGAAGAAGAAGAAGAAGAAGAAGAAGAAGAAGAAAGAGAGAGAGTGCGCGCAGTAATGTCCTGTTGCTGCTATAACAAATAACCATATGCTTAAACGAGAGAGAGAGAGAGAGAGAGAGAGAGAGAGAGAGAGAGAGAGAGAAGGAAGGAAGGAAGGAAGGAAGGAAGGAAGGAAGGAAGGAAGGAAGGAAGGAAGAAAGGAAGGAAGGAAGGAAGGAAAGAGAAAGAAAGAAAGAAAGAAAGAAAGAAAGAAAGAAAGAAAGAAAGAAAGAAAGAAAGAAAGAAAGAAAGGGAGAAAGGGAGAAAGAATTAGTGTCCTCTTGCTGCTATAACAAATAACCATATGCTTAATGGGTTAAAGCAACACAGATTTATCATCTTTCCATTCAGGAATCAGAATGGGATTCCTTGTCTCTCAAGCTTCATAGGGTGCCCATAGCTCGTGCCCATTCATCCTCAGGACCAGCAGTTACATCATTGTCCACTGCTCTCGTCATCGCATCTCTTCAGCTCTGTCCTCCTGCCTCCCTCATTCAATCCCCAGGACTTTCTGATGACATGGAGCCCACCTGGGTCACCCAGGGCCATCTCCCATCTCAACATCCTTAACTCCATCACACCTGCAAAGTCCCTTGTGCCATGGGAAGTGACATAGGCAGGGGTGCTGAGGAGTAGGAGGTGCATATCTTTAGAAGGTCCTTGCTCTGCCTGCCTCGTGCCTTTGGGGACTTCTTGAGCCACATAAACCACTTCTGTCTGGGGATGGGGTGCTACTGGGCATGCTCCTTTCAAGGTGTGCTCAGGAACTACCTCCCATTCCATGATGGGCACCTCATGCCTCATGGTGACTTGGCTAAGACAACCTCTGGTAGAGCCCAGAAACAACCCCAACATTGTTTCACAAAGGAGAATAGTCCTCCACAGAAATACATAGTGTGACTCCAAAATAGTAATTGTCTGTGCTTTATTATTGATTGATTGATTGATTTTTTAAATCCTCACCTAAGGATATTTTCCCACTGATTTTTAGGGAGAGTGGAAGAGAGAGGGAAAGACAGAGAGAAACACTGATGTGAGAGAAGCACATCGATTGGTTGTCTCCTGCATGAACCCCTGGGCCCAGGAGGAGCCTGAAACCAAGGTAGGTGCCCTTGACCAGCAATGAACCCCGGTCCCTTTGGTCTACAGGCTGACACTATATCCACTGAGCCAAACTGGCCAGGGCTAACTTTCTGTGTTTTCATTCATCTGTAGTCCCCCCAAGACTCTATAATGACCTCATCTGCCATAAGTTCCGAACACAATTGAATCTCCTGGGTCACACAGCCCTGGCAGCCTGCACCTGTTGCAAAGATGTCTCTTGTTCGGGTCCCCACCCAAAACCAGCAGCCTCTCAAGACATTCATACGTGGGTGGAGGTAACATGCCCGAGAAGGAATATGTTGTCTCCAACTTCCAAAGAAAGTCCACCAGGAATTGGGTTTTCTCCTCATTCACAAGAGGGTCCTATGGAGCTGAGTCCTCACCATGGATGGGCTATCTCACCAGGCCCTGGGGAACTGGATTCCTAGGAATTTCACCCGGACAGCAAGGCCGGAGATGTGGGCAGATCCCGTTCCCACACTCTGGAACGCATCGGTCTTACAAAGGGCCTGGATGGGTTGCTAACTTCCTGTTTCTTTAGGTCCAATCCACATGGTACATATGACTTGTGCGGTGTCCTGCCCAATTGAGGGGCAATCCTGGTCCCTACAGCCTAGGTTAGGGCTCTGGAGACTTCCTCTCTCCTACGGGAGGGCAGTTGAGTGTGTTGTTGGCCCTGACACGCAGAAGCAGACTGACCTTGTAGCCGTTATAAAAGATCCAGAGAGAGTCCATTTTCATGAGATGAAGAACTGTACACCAGGAGATGTCCAGGTTTGCGGGAGGTGTTTTTTTCCAGTAATGAAGACTCCATTGAGGCAGAAATCAAACTCACCACCTGGTACACAGGAACACACTGCGATTCTTCAAGATCCATTTGTCCTCGGCAGAAGCCAACCAGGGGAGTCGCATAGGGATGTGGATGGAATCCTGGTCCCTGTGTCTTCCAAGTCCTTGGTGGTGGCACAAATCTGTGCAGTCCTACCAGGTGGGAAGGGCATCTCCACTGCCGTCCACCCCATCCCATCCCATCCCCAGCCTTTCCTCCGTTGTATCTCTTACTCCACAGCTCGGGTATTGAGGATGTCCGTATCATTGGGGAATTCCAGAACTAGGGAAATAGCTACAGGGCAGGTCAAAGACCCAAGCAATCTGCATCCATCGCCTCACCTCTTTAAGCCTCCACTCTGACTGGCAGGTGCCAGTGGTTTGGAGGTATCCAGGAGTAATTGAATATTTAACAGAATGGCTACGTAAACAACCAATAGAAAAGAATCTGCAGGAAATTACAGGAATTACAGGTTACTATTTTACCAATAAAAAGGGTGATAATGCCCAGCCAGCGTGGCTCAGTGATTGAGTGTCTTACCTATGAACCAGGAGGTCATGGTTTGATTCTGGGGCAGGGCACAAGCCCTTGTTGTGGGCTCGGCCCCGCCAGGGGTGTGTGGGAGGCAGCTGATCAATGATTTGCTCTCATCATTGATGTTTCTCTCCCTCTCTCTCCCTCTCTGAACTCAATATATATATAACTCAATATATATATTATATATATATATATATAATATATATATATATATATATATAATATATATATATATATATTTTAAAGATGAGAACATTGTTTTTAAATGATGGGAGACTAAATTACCAGGAAATGAAAAGCACACACGCAGAGAATGGTGACCCCCCCCCTCCATTCTCAAGTTCCAAAGTCCTTTCCAGAATGTGAATGTGCATGAGGCCCAGCTCATGAATCTTTCTCTTTCCTGGAGAAACAGGCTCTTGGAAAGAAGTCCGCATCTCCGGTTATCCCACTAAGAAATTCCAGCTCTGTGACTTCCCATTCCACGGCAGGTGTCAGATTTGAATCTGCCTCTCTTGGCGAATGTCCACTCCCATCTCACCTTGACCCTCTCCCGGACACTCCCCAGGCCCCATAAGAGCGTCCTGTCCCCTGTGGATCCCAGCATCACCTTCTCACCTGGTGTTCAGGACCTTCAAGGAAGTGACCACCTTTGCATTTCAAACCAAGTTTATACTACCTACACGCCTGATGTCTCTCCCCTGCCTAAATAAAGGACTGTCCCTGGTTGGGGAAGGAGTGTGCTTCACAATTTGTTGTCATGATCTTGTAGGCAAAAGAAGTTAAGCAAATAAGATGCCCAATGGAATTGTAAGCCGCATCTTCCCCTTGTGGAATCATCAGCCCTTCTCGCACTGTGCTCCAGCTCATAAAATTCAACAGATGAACATTCGCATAGCCAATAAATCCATTAAGTGATTAACAGTTGCTTAATTGATCACCAGTGCTTAACTTAAGAATATTCACTAATGGATAATAGATTGGTAACATACCAATGAGAAGACTGATGAAGGCGACGTAGTGCCAATAGTCAACCGCTGGTTATGGATCACTTTGTTACCAAGCCTTAGTTTCAAAATACTTGTGAACAAATAATAAATCAATAACACACCAATGCAAAGACCAATTAGGGAGGATTTTGAAGTGAAGCCTGAGGCTTTTTCTAAAACTATGAAGTGATAATAATAAAATAGGACTCAACTTTTCTTCCCCACAGAATAAGGCAGAGCAGGGGGGTGAGTTTCAGAATTACGGGAATTTTCCTGGCCCGCCCACCCTGTGCAGAGGGATGGTAGGACAGAGCCTGGAAGGCAACACTTACTAAGAGGATGTTGTGGGTAGGCATCCATCGCCCCCAGCCCATGTTTCAACACTGACCTTTCAAAAGGAAGCAAAACAGCTATTTCGCCACAGGCTAATCTCTGTGATGGTCCCAAATAAGATGCATGACTTCTCCTTTCTCAGAAAACAAGTTCTGCCTTTTGCAAACCCCCAGTTCTGTATTCTAGGCACTGTTCATAACACACCATAGAGTGACCGCTGGGTGTAGAGCAGGACATGGCCTTGGTCTCTGCCCAAGGCATTATGTCTCCCCACACTACAGGAGCTGTGTGCGTCTCCAAATCCTCCCAGGTTGCACTTGGATTAATAAAGCTTAGATAAAGCAAGGGGCCTCTTCTTACAGCCACTGGTTATAGAAGAGTTGTTGAGTGGAGATGACTGGGGGCTGATGGACAGGGATGGGGGTTCTGGTGAGAAAGAAGCTATGATAGACAGGAAAGAGGAGATCTGTCCAATGGCAACTCATGCTCAGATTCAGATTATGCATTTTGGGGTGGAATATCACTCAAGGAACATTGTCCTTAGTCTTCATTTTTCTTTATTTTTTGAATACTATTCTTTCATTTATTAGCTACATATTTTTGTTTTATTTATTTATTTTTCATTTTTAAGGATATATCATGGCCCTTTTTCTCAATTAAAGTTGACATTCAACCAAAACCGGTTTGGCTCAATGGATAGAGCATCGG